TTTAATGTGCCATTAGGAAAGGCAAAACCTCATCTAAAACTTGTTCGAAATTATTTTTCATTAGAATTCATTGAGGCAGCGTAGGAAGCACTGCATTCAACTCAGCGAATTGCGATTTCAACAAAAATGCGGTGGACGCAAAGTGGTGATCACTGTATATTTCCTTCTCTCGGTGTTTTATATTTACCTTCCCTTTTTAATGTGCCATTAGGGAAAGGCAAAACCTCATCTAAAACTTGTTCGAAATTATTTTTCATTAGAATTCATTGAGGCAGCGTAGGAAGCACTGCATTCAACTCAGCGAATTGCGATTTCCAATAAAAAATGCGGTGGACGCAAAGTGGGTGATCACTGTATATTTCCTTTCTCTGTGTTTATATTTACCTTTCCCTTCTTTAATGTGCCATTAGGGAAAGGCAAAACCTCATCTAAAACTTGTTCGAAATTATTTTTCATTAGAATTCATTGAGGCAGCGTAGGAAGCACTGCATTCAACTCAGCGAATTGCGATTTCAATAAAAATGCGGTGGACGCAAAGTGGGTGATCACTGTATATTTCCTTCTCGGTGCTTTATATTTACCTTTCCTTCTTTAATGTGCCATTAGGGAAAGGCAAAACCCTCATCTAAAACTTGTTCGAAATTATTTTTCATTAGAATTCATTGAGGCAGCGTAGGAAGCACTGCATTCAACTCAGCGAATTGCGATTTCAAATAAAATGCGGTGGACGCAAAGTGGGTGATCACTGTATATTTCCTTCTCTCGGTGCTTTTATATTTACCTTTCCCTTCTTTAATGTGCCATTAGGGAAAGGCAAAACCCTCATCTAAAACTTGTTCGAAATTATTTTTTCATTAGAATTCATTGAGGCAGCGTAGGAAGCACTGCATTCAACTCAGCGAATTGCGATTTCCAATAAAAAATGCGGTGGACGCAAAGTGGGTGATCACTGTATATTTCCTTCTCTCGGTGCTTTATATTTACCTTTCCTTCTTTAATGTGCCATTAGGGAAAGGCAAAACCTCATCTAAAACTTGTTCGAAATTATTTTTCATTAGAATTCATTGAGGCAGCGTAGGAAGCACTGCATTCAACTCAGCGAATTGCGATTTCCAATAAAATGCGGTGGACGCAAAGGGTGATCACTGTATATTTCCTCTCTCTTTAAAGTTTATATTTACCTTTCCTTCTTTTTAATGTGCCATTAGGGAAAAAAGGCAAAACCCTCATCTAAAACTTGTTCGAAATTATTTTTCATTAGAATTCATTGAGGCAGCGTAGGAAGCACTGCATTCAACTTCAACCAGCGAATTGCGATTTCAATAAAATGCGGTGGACGCAAAGTGGGTGATCACTGTATATTTCCTTCTCTCGGTGTTTTATATTTACCTTTCCTTCTTTAATGTGCCATTAGGGAAAGGCAAAACCCCTCATCTAAAACTTGTTCGAAATTATTTTTCATTAGAATTCATTGAGGCAGCGTAGGAAGCACTGCATTCAACTCAGCGAATTGCGATTTCAAAAAATGCGGTGGACGCAAAGTGGGTGATCACTGTATATTTCCTTCTCTCGGTGCTTTTTATATTTACCTTTCCTTCTTTAATGTGCCATTAGGGAAAGGCAAAACCCTCATCTAAAACTTGTTCGAAATTATTTTTCATTAGAATTCATTGAGGCAGCGTAGGAAGCACTGCATTCAACTCAGCGAATTGCGATTTCCAAAAAAATGGTGGACGCAAAGTGGGTGATCACTGTATATTTCCCTTCTCGGTGTGATATATTTACCTTTCCTTTTTTTTAATGTGCCATTAGGGAAAGGCAAAACCCTCATCTAAAACTTGTTCGAAATTATTTTTCATTAGAATTATTGAGGCAGCGTAGGAAGCACTGCATTCAACTCAGCGAATTGCGATTTCCAATAAAAAATGCGGTGGACGCAAAGTGGGTGATCACTGTATATTTCCCTTCTCGGTGCTTTATATTTACCTTTCCTTCTTTAATGTGCCATTAGGAAAGGCAAAACCCTCATCTAAAAACTTGTTCGAAATTATTTTTCATTAGAATTCATTGAGGCAGCGTAGGAAGCACTGCATTCAACTCAGCGAATTGCGATTTCAATAAAAAATGCGGTGGACGCAAAGTGGGTGATCACTGTATTTTTCCTTCTCTCGGTTAATGTTTATATTTACCTTCCTTTTAATGTGCCATTAGGGAAAGGCAAAACCTCATCTAAAACTTGTTCGAAATTATTTTCATTAGAATTCATTGAGGCAGCGTAGGAAGCACTGCATTCAACTCAGCGAATTGCGATTTCCAAAAAAATGCGGTGGACGCAAAGTGGGTGATCACTGTATATTTCCTTCTCTCGGTGCTTTATATTTACCTTTCCCCTTCTTTAATGTGCCATTAGGGAAAGGCAAAACCTCATCTAAAACTTGTTCGAAATTATTTTTCATTAGAATTCATTGAGGCAGCGTAGGAAGCACTGCATTCAACTCAGCGAATTGCGATTTCCAATAAAAAATGCGGTGGACGCAAAGTGGATCACTGTATATTTCCTCTCTCGGTGCTTTATATTTACCTTTCCTTCTTTAATGTGCCATTAGGGAAAGGCAAAACCTCATCTAAACTTGTTCGAAATTATTTTTCATTAGAATTCATTGAGGCAGCGTAGGAAGCACTGCATTCAACTCAGAAGAATTGCGATTTCAATAAAATGCGGTGGACGCAAAGTGGGTGATCACTGTATATTTCCTCTCTTCAATTTACCTTCCTTCTTAATGTGCCATTAGGAAAGGCAAAACCCTCATCTAAAACTTGTTCGAAATTATTTTCATTAGAATTCATTGAGGCAGCGTAGGAAGCACTGCATTCAACTCAGCGAATTGGTGATTTCCAATAAAAATGCGGTGGACGCAAAGTGGTGATCACTGTATATTTCCTTCTCTTTTGTGTTTTATTTTACCTTCCTTCTTTTAATAAAAGCCATTAGGGGAAAGGCAAACCCTCATCTAAAACTTGTTCGAAATTATTTTCATTAGAATTATTGAGGCAGCGTAGGGAAGCACTGCATTCAACTCAGCGAATTGCGATTTAATAAAAATGCGGTGACGCAAAGTGGGTGATCACTGTATATTTCCTCTTGGTGCTTTATATTTACCTTTCCTCTTTAATGTGCCATTAGGGAAAGGCAAACCCCATCTAAAACTTGTTCGAAATTATTTTCATTAGAATTCATTGAGGCAGCGTAGGAAGCACTGCATTCAACTCAGCGAATTGCGATTTTAAATAAAATGCGGTGGACGCAAAGTGGGTGATCACTGTATATTTCCTCTTCGGTAAAGCTTTATATTTACCTTCCTTCTTAATGTGCCATTAGGGAAAGGCAAAACCCTCATCTAAAACTGTTCGAAATTATTTTCATTATTGATTGCATTAACTGCATTCAACTCAGCGAATTGCGATTTCAATAAAATGCGGTGGACGCAAAGTGGTGATCACTGTATTTCCTTCTCGTTTTATATTTACCTTCCTTCCTCTCAGCCTTTCCCGGTGCTTTATTTGCCTTCTAATGTGTAGCATTGAACCTCATCTGTGTCTGTTCTTTCATAGTGTAGCATATTCTGCATTCAACTCAGCGAATCAGTGATTGTCAGGTGACGTGGTGATCACAGCCTCCTATGTTTTCCCTCTCTTAATGTGGCCAACAGGTGTTCTGTCTGCACCACTGTTCATTTCACGACTATTGAGTAGCAGTGAGCACGTATAACTCAGCGAATCAGTGATTCTCCGCCGTGAGGACGCAAAAGTAAGTGATCACTGCATATTCTCCTCCTTTTTTTCTTTAAATTTCCATTTAATGTTAGAAGGCAAATCCTCATCTCAAACTTCTGTCTTCACTGAGGAAGACTGCATTCAATCCCAAACTGCAAGGGTGATCACTCTTTCTTCGGTGCTTTATATTTCCCTTTCTAACGCCATTCTCATCTACTGAAATTTCAATCCTTCCCAAAATGATCACTGCTTCCCCCTTTCCCGTGCTTTAAATTTCATCTTTTCGAAATTTCACTGCATCAACTCAGTAGCTCTTCTCCTCTGTGCTTTAAATTTACCTTTCATCAAACATTAGAAAGAAACCTCATTTTGTTCGAAATCATTTTCATTACATCAATCACTCTCTGCTCTTCCCTTTCTAATTTTTTCATCAACTCACATTCTCTCTTGCTTTAAATTCTTTCCTTTCTCAACCAGCAATCATTTCCTATGCTTTCCTTCTTGCCACTGCATTCAACTCATGAATTGCATTTCACAAATGCGGTGACGTAAAGGGTGATCGGCCTTCTCTCTGTGTTACTTCCCTTAATGTCAACAGAGCAAACCTCATCCCACCTTTCACGCCTCATCTCACAACTCACTCTCCTTCCCATGTTCGAAACAGCACTGCATCAACTCAGCGGGCGATCATTTCTTCTGCTTTGAATTTCCCTTCTTAAACCTCATCTGTTCGAAATTTCAGAATGCATTCAACTCAGCAACAGTGATTTCAAAATGATCGAAGTGGGTGATCACTGCCTCTCTTCCTCTGCTTTCATTTGCCTTCCTTTCAATAAAGGCATAATCCCTCATCTGTCTGAACTCTTCTCCTCATCTGTGTCTCTGTCTGCATTAACTTCCTTTTAATGTTAGAAAGCAAGTTCATCCAAATCTTTGAGCCTGGAAATTTCTAATGTGCCAAACCTCATCCTGCAACCTCAGCCTGAACAATCCTTCAGCCTTTCCTTTTAATGCAGCATAACCTCATCTGTTCGAAAATTTCTTTCACGCACTGCATCCTGGTGATCACTGTGCTTTGCCTTCCTTCACTCTCAATCCCTTCCTGGTGCCTTCCTTCTGTGCCAAACTCTGTGCTTTAGATCTTTTCGCTTCCCCACTCATCCAACTCCTGCAAGTGATCACTGTGCTCAGGTCAGGTGATCACTGCATTTCCGGTGCTTTACTTAATGCTATTAGCAGCCCCCATCCTGTCTCAACTCCTTCCTGCGCCCACTTCCTTTCACGTGCTTACATTTACCTTCCCCATCGTGCCAGGAAAGGCGAAATCCCCATCCAAACTCTCACTTCCTCCCGGCGTTTTTCAGCCTTTCTATCGACAGCCCTCTTCCAGGCCATTTCATCTCCCCCAGCACAATCCCAACTCTATCAAACCTCTAATGTTAGCAGCACTGATCCAAACTTGTTCGAAATCAATCCTTCCTTCTACCTTTCACGCCAATCCTGGTGAATTGCATTTCAAGGTCAGGTGACGCAAGCGGCGATCACTGCCTCCCGGCGCCTTCCCCACGTGCCATCCTTCTGTTTCACCTCTACCTCAGCAACCCTCATCTGGGGCTCCATCTGAAATCCTCGGTGCTCTTTCCTTTCTAATGTGCCATCTCACTTCTGTATATTTGTCTTTCCTTATCACTGCATTCAACTCCTGGCAAGATCACTGGCATTTCTTCCTCGGTGCTTTATATTTGCCTTCCCTTTCTTATCGAATCATCTGTGTCCTGTCTTCATCCTCCTGCGCTTCCCACGTCTCACTCTGCTTCCTTCTAATGGAAACTCTCAACTCTGTTTAAATTCTGTTTTCCCTTTCTAATAGTAACCATCTCATTCGGAAATTACCATTAGACTCAACTCCTTCCTTCTTAATAAACTCTGGTGCTCTTTCTATCAAAATCTTTCGAAATTTCAACTCAGCAACAGACTTCCACAACAGGTGGGTGATCACTGAGCCTCTGCCACCTCCCACTCAGCAAATCAGCCACTGCATTCAATCCCTCCACAGGACGCAGCAAGTGATCACTTCTCCTTCTCCTCGGTGCTTTATTTGCTCTCCCTTCTACAAAAGGCAAACCTCCATTGCGCCCGGAACTCTGTGCTTTAAATTCTCTCTTTAATACAGTGATCACCCACTTTTACGTCCACCGCATTTTTATTGGAAATCGCAATTGCTGAGTTGAATGCAGTGCCTTTACGCTGCCTCAATGAATTCTAATGAAAAATAATTTCGAACAAGTTTTAGATGAGGGTTTTGCCTTTCCTAATGGCACATTAAAGAAGGGAAAGGTAAATATAAAGCACTGTGAGAAGGGAAATATACAGTGATCACCCACTTTTGCGTCCACCGCATTTTTATTGGAAATCGCAATTGCTGAGTTGAATGCAGTGCCCCTACGCCGCCTCCTCAATGAATTCTAATGAAAAATAATTTCGAACAAGTTTTAGATGAGGGTTTTGCCTTTCCCTAATGGCACATTAAAGAAGGGAAAGGTAAATATAAAGCACAGAGAGAAGGGAAATATACAGTGATCACCCACTTTGCGTCCACCGCATTTTTATTGGAAATCGCAATTCGCTGAGTTGAATGCAGTGCATCCTACGCTGCCTCAATTAATTCTGATGAAAAATAATTTCGAACAAGTTTTAGATGAGGGTTTTGCCTTTCCCTAATGGCACATTAAAGAAGGGAAAGGTAAATATAAAGCACAGAGAGAAGGGAAATATACAGTGATCACCCACTTTGCGTCCACCGCATTTTTAGTGGAAATCGCAATTTGCTGAGTTGAATGCAGTGCTTCCTCCGCTGCCTCAATGAATTCTAATGAAAAATAATTTCGAACAAGTTTTAGATGAGGGTTTTGCCTTTCCCTAATGGCACATTAAAGAAGGGAAAGGTAAATATAAAGCACAGAGAGAAGGGAAATATACAGTGATCACCCACTTTGCGTCCACCGCATTTTTATTGGAAATCGCAATTCGCTGAGTTGAATGCAGTGCTTCCTACGCTGCCTCAATGAATTCTAATGAAAAATAATTTCGAACAAGTTTTAGATGAGGGTTTTGCTTTCCCTAATGGCACATTAAAGAAGGGAAAGGTAAATATAAAGCACAGAGAGAAGGGAAATATACAGTGATCACCCACTTTGCGTCCACCGCATTTTTATTGGAAATCGCAATTCGCTGAGTTGAATGCAGTGCTTCCTACGCTGCCTCAATGAATTCTAATGAAAAATAATTTCGAACAAGTTTTAGATGAGGGTTTTGCCTTTCCCTAATGGCACATTAAAGAAGGGAAAGGTAAATATAAAGCACAGAGAGAAGGGAAATATACAGTGATCACCCACTTTGCGTCCACCGCATTTTTATTGGAAATCGCAATTTGCTGAGTTGAATGCAGTGCTTCCTCCGCTGCCTCAATGAATTCTAATGAAAAATAATTTCGAACAAGTTTTAGATGAGGGTTTTGCCTTTCCCTAATGGCACATTAAAGAAGGGAAAGGTAAATATAAAGCACAGAGAGAAGGGAAATATACAGTGATCACCCACTTTGCGTCCACCGCATTTTTATTGGAAATCGCAATTCGCTGAGTTGAATGCAGTGCCTACGCTGCCTCAATGAATTCTAATGAAAAATCATTTCGAACAAGTTTTAGATGAGGGTTCTGGCCTTTCCCTAATGGCACATTAAAGAAGGGAAAGGTAAATATAAAGCACCGAGAGAAGGGAAATATACAGTGATCCCCCACTTTGCGTCCACCGCATTTTTATTGGAAATCGCAATTCGCTGAGTTGAATGCAGTGCTTCCTACGCTGCCTCAATGAATTCTAATGAAAAATAATTTCGAACAAGTTTTAGATGAGGGTTTTGCCTTTCCCTAATGGCACATTAAAGAAGGAAAGGTAAATATAAAGCACAGAGAGAAGGGAAATATACAGTGATCACCCACTTTGCGTCCACCGCATTTTTATTGGAAATCGCAATTGCTGAGTTGAATGCAGTGCCTTACGCTGCCTCAAATGAATTCTAATGAAAAATAATTTCGAACAAGTTTTAGATGAGGGTTTTGCCTTCCCTAATGGCACATTAAAGAAGGAAAAGGTAAATATAAAGCACCGAGAGAAGGGAAATATACAGTGATCACCCACTTTGCGTCCACCGCATTTTTATTGGAAATCGCAATTCGCTGAGTTGAATGCAGTGCTTCCTACGCTGCCTCAATGAATTTAATGAAAAATAATTTCGAACAAGTTTTAGATGAGGGTTTTGCCTTCCCTAATGGCACATTAAAGAAGGGAAAGGTAAATATAAAGCACAGAGAGAAGGGAAATATACAGTGATCACCCACTTTGCGTCCACCGCATTTTTATTGGAAATCGCAATTTGCTGAGTTGAATGCAGTGCTTCCTACGCTGCCTCAATGAATTCTAATGAAAAATAATTTCGAACAAGTTTTAGATGAGGGTTTTGCCTTTCCCTAATGGCACATTAAAGAAGGAAAGGTAAATATAAAGCACCGAGAGAAGGGAAATATACAGTGATCACCCACTTTGCGTCCACGCATTTTTATTGGAAATCGCAATTGCTGAGTTGAATGCAGTGCTTCCTACGCTGCCTCAATGAATTCTAATGAAAAATAATTTCGAACAAGTTTTAGATGAGGGTTTTGCCTTTCCCTAATGGCACATTAAAGAAGGGAAAGGTAAATATAAAGCACAGAGAGAAGGGAAATATACAGTGATCACCCACTTTTGCGTCCACCGCATTTTTATTGGAAATCGCAATTGCTGAGTTGAATGCAGTGCTTCCTACGCTGCCTCAATGAATTCTAATGAAAATAATTTCGAACAAGTTTTAGATGAGGGTTTTGCCTTTCCCTAATGGCACATTAAAGAAGGGAAAGGTAAATATAAAGCACAGAGAGAAGGGAAATATACAGTGATCACCCACTTTGCGTCCACCGCATTTTTATTGGAAATCGCAATTCGCTGAGTTGAATGCAGTGCTTCCTACGCTGCCTCAATGAATTCTAATGAAAAATAATTTCGAACAAGTTTTAGATGAGGGTTTTGCCTTTCCCTAATGGCACATTAAAGAAGGGAAAGGTAAATATAAAGCACAGAGAGAAGGGAAATATACAGTGATCACCCACTTTGCGTCCACCGCATTTTTATTGGAAATCGCAATTCGCTGAGTTGAATGCAGTGCTTCCTACGCTGCCTCAATGAATTCTAATGAAAAATAATTTCGAACAAGTTTTAGATGAGGGTTTTGCCTTCCCTAATGGCACATTAAAGAAGGGAAAGGTAAATATAAAGCACAGAGAGAAGGGAAATATACAGTGATCACCCACTTTGCGTCCACCGCATTTTTATTGGAAATCGCAATTCGCTGAGTTGAATGCAGTGCTTCCTACGCTGCCTCAATGAATTCTAATGAAAAATAATTTCGAACAAGTTTTAGATGAGGGTTTTGCCTTTCCCTAATGGCACATTAAAGAAGGAAAGGTAAATATAAAGCACAGAGAGAAGGGAAATATACAGTGATCACCCACTTTGCGTCCACCGCATTTTTATTGGAAATCGCAATTCGCTGAGTTGAATGCAGTGCTTCCTACGCTGCCTCAATGAATTCTAATGAAAATAATTTCGAACAAGTTTTAGATGAGGGTTTTGCCTTTCCCTAATGGCACATTAAAGAAGGGAAAGGTAAATATAAAGCACAGAGAGAAGGGAAATATACAGTGATCACCCACTTTGCGTCCACCGCAAATTTTATTGGAAATCGCAATTGAGTTGAGTTGAATGCAGTTTCCTACGCTGCCTCAATGAATTCTAATGAAAATAATTTCGAACAAGTTTTAGATGAGGGTTTTACCTTTCCCTAATGGCACATTAAAGAAGGAAAGGTAAATATAAAGCACAGAGAGAAGGGAATATACAGTGATCACCCACTTTGTCCACCGCATTTTTATTGAAATCGCAATTTGCTGAGTTGAATGCAGTGCCTTACGCTGCCTCAAATGAATTTAATGAAAAATAAATTCGAACAAGTTTTAGATGAGGGTTTTGCCTTTCCTAATGGCACATTAAAGAAGGGAAAGGTAAATATAAAGCACAGAGAGAAGGGAAATATACAGTGATCACCCACTTTGCGTCCACCGCATTTTTATTGGAAATCGCAATTTTGCTGAGTTGAATGCAGTGCCTTCCTACGCTGCCTCAATGAATTGTAATGAAAAATAATTTCGAACAAGTTTTAGATGAGGGTTTTGCCTTTCCCTAATGGCACATTAAAGAAGGGAAAAGGTAAATATAAAGCACAGAGAGAAGGGAAATATACAGTGATCACCCACTTTGCGTCCACCGCATTTTAGTGAAAATCGAAATCGCTGAGTGAAATCGCAATTTGAGTTAATGCAGTGCTTCCTACGCTGCCTCAATGAATTTAATGAAAAATAATTTCGAACAAGTTTTAGATGAGGGTTTTGCCTTTCCTAATGGCACATTAAAGAAGGGAAAGGTAAATATAAAGCACAGAGAGAAGGGAAATATACAGTGATCACCCACTTTGCGTCCACCGCATTTTTATTGGAAATCGCAATTGCTGAGTTGAATGCAGTGCTTCCTACGCTGCCTCAATGAATTCTAATGAAAAATAATTTCGAACAAGTTTTAGATGAGGGTTTTGCCTTTCCCTAATGGCACATTAAAGAAGGGAAAGGTAAATATAAAGCACAGAGAGAAGGGAAATATACAGTGATCACCCACTTTGCGTCCACCGCATTTTTATTGGAAATCGCAAATTCGAAGGGAAATATACAGTGAGTTGAATGCAGTGGAAATCCTTACGCTGCCTTGAATGAATTTAATGAAAAATGAATTTAATGAAAAAGTTTTAGATGAGGGTTTTGCCTTTCCCTAATGGCACATTAAAGAAGGGAAAGGTAAATATAAAGCACAGAGAGAAGGGAAATATACAGTGATCACCCACTTTGCGTCCACCGCATTTTTATTGGAAATCGCAATTCGCTGAGTTGAATGCAGTGCTTCCTACGCTGCCTCAATGAATTCTAATGAAAAATAATTTCGAACAAGTTTTAGATGAGGGTTTGCCTTT